TGCACAGCCAGGCTTCAGTATTACCTGCTGATGGGGATACAGCAAAAACCCAAATGCTCTTACTGTGTTGCTAAAGTCTGTTGCTCACTTGCATCGTTTAAAAATAAGTTGCTTAATTATTGAAATGCTTTCATATGGCTCTTGTCACAAATGTAGGTTATACCACACCAATCAATCCAATGGGCCAGTCTAGCCCTGTATCCCACCCTCTACCTGTGCCAGATCAAACCAAATGGACCCCTTCTAGCGTGGCTTCCATCTCCAATCGGAAGAGACCAATTGGCCCAGCTTACCCAGTAACGTTCCCCTTCTTTATCATGGCAGATCTGACAAACAGGGTCATCAATCTACTGATGAAAAGTGCTATAATAAATAATAATAATAATAACAACAACTACCCCTGGCTCTTATCTAGCACTTTTCATCCACAGATCTCAAAGCACTTTACAAAGGAGGTTGGTATTATTATTCCCATTTTACAGATGGGGAAACTGAGGCAGAGGGAGGTAACGTGACATGCCCACGGTCATCCAGCAGACCAGTGGCAGAGCCAGAAATAGAACCAACATATCTGGAGTCCTGGCCCAGTGCTCTAGCCTCCCTATAAAAACTAGGTATTAATATCTACCCTGTTTTCTCCCTTGCTACCATACTGGATCAAACCAATGGGCCGATCTAGCCCAGTTCCCTCCCTCTGTCATACTGAGCCAAGCCAACAGCCTAGTGTCCTGTCTCCAGTGGTGTTCTCCCAGTAATGCACCGAACCCCACATTGTGGGGACTTCCTGATCCAGCTCCAGGTGGGAATCAGCGCATCCCCTGCACCCCGAGAGCAGCAGCCCCCATAAGTGTACCCTAATGAGCACGAACACGGCAGCTCAGCTGGCCTCTCCGACCCACCCACTTACATTTTGACATCACAGGACTTCTCGTGGTTACAGAAGGGGCAGGTGAACTGCGTCTCCAGGGTGCCCGTCATCTTCTTCTTGGGTGGGGGCTTCCGCTTTGACTTCCTGCGGCCCATCTTTGCGTGCAAGGCACAGAGGAGAGGGAAAGCGTCAGTCCTCTAAGGGCCAGGGGGAATCACGCGTGCTGCCCTTTCTCCTTCATCCACCACACCTCACCCCCAGCTCTAGGGCGCCCAGGAGTGAGCATGGGGGGCTACAAGGAGATGGGGGCAGATATGCTCTCTGGGTCTGGATTTAAACCCCGCCCATTATCACAGCTGGTGGGGCACCACCCAGCATCGCCTAGGAACTGGGGGGCTCATAACCCCCCCCACATAAACATATAGAGCAAAGAAATCTAACACCCCCCACAGATTGAGCCGTGGCCCCCCCTTCCAGCCAGAGGCAGGGGAGCATGAGCCCAGCTCCTCACCACAGCAATGTGGGCTGAACACACCCCTCCCCCCAGCTACGGGGCACAGGAGCCCAGCGCCCCCCCCATGGGGGCTCCTCTCAGGTACACGTCACAGGAGCCCAGCGCCCCCCCCCATGGGGGCTCCCCCCGGGTACACGTCACAGGAGCCCAGCGCCCCCCCCCCATGGGGGCTCCCCCCGGGTACACGTCACAGGAGCCCAGCGCCCCCCCCCATGGGGGCTCCCCCCGGGTACACGTCACAGGAGCCCAGCGCCCCCCCGACCAGGCTACGGGGAGGGGCAGGGGCCGGAGCCGCGGGGGGCGGGGAGGGGAGTCGCTCTCAGGCCTCACCTGTCCCCTGCCTCCAGCCTCCCGCCCCGGCCGCGTTTCCAACCGCGACCGGCACTTCCGCCGCCGAACCGGAAGAGAAACACGCTCGCCCCGCCCACGCCGCCGGCAGCCATTGGCTGGCCTCGGGCCGAGCGCGCGCAATGCGGAATGATTGACAGCCGCGGCAGGAGGAAATGAGGCCGGAGAGCGGGGGGTGGGGGCGGAGCCAGAACCGGAAGTGGCCCACCCGGCGCTCTGGCTGTTTCCAAGATGGCAGCCGTCGTGGGCGGGGGGGGAGCCCCAAGGCAGGAGGAGCCTCCCCAGGCACCGAGGCTCGGTGTGGCTGGGGACGGAGAAGCCCCAGCTGGGCCCTGGGGCGGGGCAGAGCGTCCCCTGCCCTCCCCCCCCCCAGAACAAGTCTGGGGGACGGCGCACAAACCGCCGGCCCCTGGGTTCCCCCCCCCCCGCCACGGCGCCCCCCCCCCCGGGGCTCATTCCGCTTTCGGGGGAGCCGCCCCCCAGCCAGGAAGTGGGGGGGGCAGAATAGACGCCCCCGGGTCAGGCTTTGGCCAGGACGCCGGGGTCCCCCCCCCCCCCGACCCTGGCCGGGCCTGGGGCCCTTCAGCGATCAGCAGCCCCCGCGCTGAGCCCCCCCGGCCCCACTGCCCCTCGGGACAAGAGACCGAGCGGCCCCGATACAGGGCGGCCCAGACTCTGCCCTGGGGCGGCTGATGGTCATGAACCCGCTTTGCCCCGCAGAGAAGCTCACGCAAGGCCGGGGCACTGACCCTTTCAGCCAGCGGCTCTCAAACTTCTGTACGGGTGACCCCTTTGTACAGCAAGCTGAGGGTGACCCCCCCCTTGGAAATGAAAAACACCTTTGTATATATTTAACACCATTATAAATGCTGGAGGCCAAGCGGGGTTTGGGGTGGAGGGTGACAGCTCGCGACCCCCTGAGGGGTCCTGACCCCCTGTTTGAGAACCCCGGCTTTAAGCACAGAAGGAAGAGACGAATTAGGGGCTGTGCTGGTTGGATTTGGCCAGGCGTGTTTGTTTTTTGACAGGTAAAAGAGAAAACCCCTATTTAAAATCAATCCTGCCCTGCCCACTTGAGATTACTGGCCAGGAAAGCATTTGCAGTTTCACCATTGATACTGTGTTACTTGCAGGGCTGCCCAGAGGGGGGGCAAGTGGAGCAATTTGCCCTGGGCCCCACAGGGGCCCCCACGAGAACATAGTATTTTATGGTATTGCAACTTTTTTTTTATGGAAGGGGGCCCCAAAATTGCTTTGCCCCAGGCCCCCTGAATCCTCTGGGCGGCCCTGCTTACGTGCTTTGGGACAGTAGGGCCATGTCTACACTTGTGGGTACTACAGCATCAGTAGCTATGGTGCTGTAACCCTGTAGTGTAGATTCAGGCTGTAGCAACGGAAGGGGGTTTTCCATCACTATAGGAACTCCGTCTCCCTGAGTGACGGTAGCTAGGTCGATAGAAACGCTCTTCTGCCAACCTAGCTCTGTCTACACCAGGGGTTAGCATAGTTACAGCTCTCAGCAGGGTGGATTTTTCACACCCCTGAACACCTAGCTTTGTTGACCTAAGTTTTAAGTATAGACCAGGCCTGAAACTAGTCATTGGGCTAATCAACTTCTAAAGTCGTAATCCTCATGCCCTTCGCACAATGCTCTTGACTCGGGGTTTGCAACACAGTAGGTGTTTCTGTTGACTAGGCCTGTCTATAGGAGACGGTTGCACCAGTTTTTCAAGCGACCACCTTTATGCTTTCTCCTATGCAGCCCCTCGCAAAAACCGTGACAGTGGTTCGGCAACTGCTGACCAGTATTGGCTCGTTGCTTCCTTGTGCTGTATCTACCTGCCCTCACCAGTTTTATACTTGGATTGGAAGCTCTTTGGGGCAGGGAGCAGCTTTGAATTCAGTATTTGTGCAGCCTGTAGCAACCTGGGGTCCTGGGCCATAACTGAAGCTCCTAGATGGGACAGTAACGCAAATAATACATTGAACCAAATTCATTTTTTAAACCAGTCTAGTTAAACTGGAGCAAACGCCCAGGAGGATGCTGATTTTGGTTTTTAAAGTGGCTGATTTTGGTTTCACCTGAACCTATTCCCTGTTTTAAACTAAGCTGAAAAGAGCTGCCTCCTTTCCTGGAAAAAGCAGGCCAGAGAACAGCCCTGAGTTAATTCCTGCCTGTCTTTTACGAAAACATCCACTCAAGTTAAAAATCCAGGGGCTCATCATTCAAATCCCCTCCCTGTGCCCCAGAAAACCTCCCTTGCTTTAATTATAGAAACATTTCTGTTCATAGTCGAGTGCTGGGGACAGAGCACAGGATGGACTTAGGAGACCGGGGTTCTATGGGGCATGCCCTAGCGGAGGGGTTAAAGGGGGGTGTTAAAGATGAGTAGGCAGCATTCTTTTCCCCCAGATTTGGTTCCCAGCCACTGACTGATCCATGGGGAATTTCCATATGTTCTTTCCCTGACCTTCTGCCAGGGGTTGATTCTTTAGGCCGGTGCCCTCATTGTAGGTGGATGTTTGCCAGGGAAAACACAGTAGAGATTGGTTCAGATGGGATTTCTTGGCAAGCGCCAAGGAAGTGAGGTCTGGTCAGGAAAGCAGCCTGCCCACCACAAAACCGTCACGTGGATCATCATTCCTGGAGCCTGGCTAGGAGAGGTACCTAGCTACTAGAGTGCCTGGTGTCTTGGGAGTACGGACAATATCTCAATGAGCCTGCAAGAGCAGGGGGGCTGCGTTTCGGGGCTGAGGGGCATCAGCAGAGCTTCAAGTGCAGGGAGCCTAGGGCTGGAATAGGAAGGGATGGCTGAGGGCCAAGATGGAGGGGCGTTGGCAGAGCTGGCGGGGGACCTTAGGGCCGGAAGAGGAATGTGGGTTGGGATTGAGGGGCACCACCAGAGCGGTGTGCATGGAGGAAACGCGGGGCTGGAATAACGGGGAAATACAGCTCAGGATTGAGGGGCGTTGGCAGGGGAGCCCAGGAGCAGGGGGCTATGGGTCAGGACTGTTTGTGTGTGGCACTAGCAGAGCCCAGAGCTCGGGGAGCAAAGGGGCTGCAGTTCGGGAATGAGGGGCATCGGCAGAGCTGAGCAACCGTCCTGTACAGTCTTCCCCTCAGTTTCCCCAATGTGAAAACATGTCATCGTTTGCAAGGTGTGGACTCCGGTTTGGTGAGAGAAAAACAATCGGACTTTTTAAAATATAATTTATTGAAAATAGTCCCAAGAAAATCACTTAGAAGAGTCTGTTCCCTTCGAAGCAGCTTCAGGGAGCAACAGATCACAGGGGCAGCAGTGCTGCAGAGGGTAAAGAAGAAGTTTCTCCGGGACTTAAAAGTCTGTGGCAGACACGTGGGGATCACACGCACGCCCCTTGTTAACTGTAGACTGGGAGGAAGCACGCAGGACCGGTCCGCATGTGAGGGTTAAAAACAATCATCTCGGAAAACACAATCACCAGCACGAGGTCACATTTGGGCAGTACTGAGTCCTCGTCTGGCACAACACAGTTTACTGGTCAGCAACAAGGGGAAAAACATCAGCTTCCCAGCCACATAGCTGAGAAGAGAAGGGGAAGGAAGGTCATAGCGCCTCCAGGTGGCGGGATGAGGGAATTGCTCTGAGAGCATTGGTGGTTAGGAAATGGTATTGCAGGAGCTGTACAGAGGGGATCCCCAAGGAATTTACAGCCTCCGCAGGCAAAGGGGGGAGCGTGAAAGGACCGTTAGCCCCGTTTTACAGGAGGGGAGCTGGTGCCTAAAGAGAGGAAGACAAGGTCACTCGGGACTCTGGCACAGCCAGGAGTCAAACCCAGATCTCAGGGGGGTCAAAGGGGGCTGGAGTGATCTAGTGAGGAGGGGATCAAGCAATAAATGGGGGAGGGAGGGGCTTCTCCAGCCAGCTAGTGGACGGAACGGAGGGGAGGAGGTGTTTGCAAAGCCTAGGGGGCATATTGGGGGCTACAGAGGGCAAGGGGAGGATTCCCCCAGAGATCAGATGCAGGAGCCTTAAAAATCAGACGGCTTCAATGCCCCTAGCAGCGTTTCCCTCGGCGCCAAACGAAAGAGGAGGGAGCTCTGAACCCCCACTCCCTGCGCCCTCCTAGATCAGTGGGCAGGGAGGGGTCTCAGAGGCGGCGCCTCCGGGGGAGGGAGGTCTTGTAGAGGGACTTGCCGCTGGCCTCAATGTAGGTGACACTCATCTCCTTGCCGTCGATCTCCACGTAGGCGAAGCCGCCCAGGGACGCCGGCTCAGCATAGAAGAAGCGCAGGTAGCCCTCGGGCACCTTGTGATAGTGCTTCCGCGAGTTCTCCATGAAGTTGCCGGCCCCGCTCAGCACGTAGCCCACGCCAGCCTTGTCCTGCAGGTACTGATCAGGGAAGATGGGGGCGGGGGTCACAGCAGATCCATGCTTCTGCTGCCTGGGTACTCCCCTGTTCCCGTCCCGCAGCCAGCCTGCTCGTGCCAGGGGGGTCTGGGAGTCAGGACTCCTGGGTTCTATTCCCCACTCTGGGAGGGGAGTGGGGTCTAGGGGTTAGAGCGGCGGGGGGGGGGGGGGCGGGGAGTCAGGACTCCTGGGTTCTATCCCAGCTTTGCTGTTGACTTACACCCTTGGCTGAGTTGCTGCCAGGGTGGCTGGGGCGGGGTGCAATGGGCTAGCAGGGAGTTGATGGACAGCTCCCTAGCAGGGGTGCTTAGAGCCCTGTGGGATAGACCAGAGGGGACAACCTTGCCCCAGTGGCCCCCCTCCCGCCCCGCTTACCTGCAGGTTGTGATCATGGCCGCACAGGTAAGCAGTGGCCTTGTACTTGAGCAGCAGCGGCTGCAGGTGCTTCACCAGGCAATGGGTGGGGCCGTGCTCGGCCACCGACCACACCGGGTAGTGGCCGGCCACCAGCAGGTAGTCGTCCTGGGAGGC